TTTCATAACGATCCCAACGAACATTCTTTTGAGAAGGATCCTGATACCATCCCTGTGCATTCCACTGTTTCGGCGTGTATGTGAACACATTTGGAACTAACAGGGTTTACTAGAATCCCTCCACTCCACCACAGAGTCACCGCAGTAGACGTTAGATGAGCGCTGTCGCTATGCGGCACTTGTCATCTAAACATATTTGTTCAGTAATCTTCCCAAGAAAGACGGTGCCCAAAATTCTGTATAATTCTATAGATCACTGGTCGCGGCGGGAGGGCCACGTCTATTTGCATCGTGCGGTATCTGCGGAACATACCTGTACTCATGAATGGCCCGCTCATATGTCGATGCTAGAACGATTGCTGGCGAATTTATCGTTGACTGATTGTACGTCGCGTTCGTTGTCAGTCTGGTTTCTGCCAGAAACAAGAACCTCTAGTTCTGATCTTGATCTTTGTAAATGCACTAGGTGTTGTATGGTCAGTTCTAGAGGTAACATGGTGCTAGAGTTAAGTTCTAATTACCCTCTACTTTCATTTGTTTGATGAAGAAATTTTTATTTCGTTCTTTATAATTATCATCAGTAATTGTCCTTGGTGACCTTTGTGCAGTTGTGTTTTTGTCGATTTTGTAAGGTTTGTGCAGATACAAGCAAAATGTGATTTACTTGTGCAGTGTATCATTGAGGAGTCTGGTGAGCACATCATTGCTGGTGCTGGAGAATTGCATCTTGAAATTTGCCTCAAAGATCTTGAAGAGGACCACGCTTGCATTCCATTGAAGAAGTCTAACCCTGTGGTAGGTATTTTCGGCTGTAGTTGGAGCTTGAAGTAGCAGCCTGTCACTCAATCCAAGACTGGTAACTTTTAGCAGGACGGTTTAATTTTTATTGATTCTGTTGTGGGTTATATAGTAGAAATTAAAATTTTTGAAATCGGGACTGGCTGGGTGTTTGTACTTATTTAAGTATTGTTCATCTTAGCAGAGAAATGCTGGGTATTTTAAGATCCTGGATATTTTTCTGGCAATCATGTGTTATCATCATCAATCGATCATCCCTTGGAAGTTTTATTCTTCTAACAAGTTTTACTTTGTTCAGTTGTTAGTCATTAGTTTCTGCAAAAGGATGACGAGTCTGGTGTAAGCCAGGGCGTATGCAGTTGTGAGTGTTCAACGTCTTTCTCTGTGTCTTTCCTCTTGTAGGTATCTTACCGTGAGACCGTCAGTGAAATGTCTGACATCATGTGCTTATCCAAGTCGCCAAACAAGCACAACAGACTCTTCATGAAGGCTGAACCGATGCCTGATGGCCTGGCCGAAGACATCGACGACGTATGTCCATTTGGATATCACATAAGTGCTACTGTTGTTGAAGCAGTCTGGCAGGTCACATTTTCTTTCCTGCAGTTCCTATTGTCCCGCAGTTCCCATTATCCGACAGCATGTTTCTTCCATCATGACTCTTATTCACTCGTATTCGTTCCCCACAGCAGTCCCATCAGTTTGTAGGGTTTTGAACGGCGAGATCGGTGGAGGCATTTTGAGATGGGTGTCTTGTCTTTTGAACATCGTGAGATGTGCGCGACATCTCATTGATGGGCATGTCATCGTTGCAGGGAGAGGTCACCCCCAGGCAGGAGTTCAAGGCACGCGCGCGATACCTCGGCGAGAAGTATGAGTATGACGTGACGGAGGCTCGTAAGATCTGGTGCTTCGGCCCCGAGGGCACCGGCCCCAACCTCCTCATCGACTGCACGAAGGGAGTGCAGTACCTCAACGAGATTAAGGACAGCGTTGTTGCCGGCTTCCAGTGGGCGTCAAAGGAGGTGAGGGAGGGAGAGGGAGGGAGAAGGAGACGGAGGTAAAGGAGAGGGAAGAGAGAGAGAGGGTTGTTTCCAAACAATGGTTGATGAATTTCAGGGTTAGGTTAGGTTGGTTAGTTGAAGTTTAGGAATCTCGAGACAGTGCGGGATGTAGTAGAATATAGTAACGAAGAACCATAAATTATTACGAGTAACGTGAAATTGTAACTGCATCACAATTTTCCCGAGATTTAATATAAATATTATTGTTGACTGGTTGATAAGAAAATTTGCATATTCAGTGCAAAAATTGATATAGTAATGCTAAAAGTCAACATAATATATTGTTTTGTTTTGAAATCTAGTAAACAACACATTAACCATATTATGTTGCTATTGTACAGATTCACAGTTGTGTTAAATAGTAACCATTGCCCATATTGCTGTGATTATATATAAAACGTGGTGTTTATATTTACTGAAATCTGGGGAGCAGCATAGTGACCACATTATGTTATTGTGTATATACAAACTCACAGTCCCTGTATTATGTTACTGTCACACAAACACATCTACCATATTATGTTAGTGTCTTACAAAGTCACAGTTACCATATATACTACTTAATATGGTAACTGAGTTTGTATGACAATAGTATAACATGGTAACTGTGACTGTATGACAGTAACATAATCTGGTAACTGTGCGACAGTAACATAATCTGGTAACTGTGCAGTCCCGATACCCGAACCGAAATGTCCCACCAAAACACTAGCATATGTTTCTCAGTGTGTGCGCGTGTGACAGGGTGTACTGTGTGAGGAGAACCTGCGTGGGGTTGGTTGGGGTTAGTGTTTGTTTCTCACTGTGTGCGCGTGTGACAGGGTGTACTGTGTGAGGAGAACCTGCGTGGGGTGCGCTTCAACATCTACGATGTGACGCTTCACGCTGATGCCATCCATCGCGGCGGCGGTCAGGTGATCCCGACGACGAGACGCGTGCTCTACGCCTCCCTACTCACCGCGCAGCCACGAATGATGGAGCCCGTATACCTGGTCGAAATTCAGGTGAGATGTGGAGTTTGGCCTGGGTAGACAATATGGGGTGTAGTTCCACTGGGTTAGTTACTAGAGGTGTGGCGAGATTAGGGTCTGGGTTATCCAAGCAGTGATTACCAAACGTATTTCTAATGATTACCCATTATAGATCCATGGAGCTGTGTTTAAACGTCTTGTCTTGAGGAACCTAGATATGAAGACTGGTTATTCTTAAGTTTACGACACCGTTATATATCTGCGAACGTCGGGTAAATTGTAGCAGATTTGCAGGTCCTGACCAGTGCTGTCGCATCAGGAACCCGGTCCATTGTACCCGAATAATTTACTATTATTATATGTATATAAATAACATGGTTCGTACAGTCCTTGAAAAGTCTTTGAATTTGAGGGGAGCCCTTGAAAAGTACTTGAATTTAGTAAATGTTGATTTTGTGCTTGAAAAGTCCTTGAATTTAATGAAAATGTCCTTGAATTTCATAAAAAATGTCCTTGAATTTTTAGCTCATCTGACATAGTTGTAACGAAGTTTCTTACGTTACTTGATAGTTATAGATTCTGATGTTGTATGCATAGCCAAAAGACATAGATAAAGAGAAAGCCAGTTATACCATGGTTCAAAGTTAGATCCTGAGGTTTAATGTTGGTACGTCAAGTACAGAGTACAGAGCTGTGGTCGCGGTCAAAACGAGTTGGGATGTCGAAGCTGGGGGTCAAAGGTCAAAGGTCAAGAGGTGTAAAAGAAGGGGGAACATTCACTCCTTAACTTAAGGTATAGGGAGGAAATGCAGA